CTGTATTGTCTCCTCCCAGTTTCGCATTCATGTCGCCCATCAGGATTTTGATATCGCTCTTTGGGACGTTGTCCATTACTGTTTGTAGTTGACAGTAGAAATCCTCCTTCTTCTCACGTTCTGAGATGTTTGTAGGCACGTAGCACTGAATGATTGTAACCTTCCTTCCTTTTGAGTTGAACCTGGCTGTCATTATCCTGGAGGAGATTGGTTCCCACTGCATGAGAGCCTTAGCCGCTGTTGGTGACATCATGATGGCTACTCCCTCGGTGAGTTCGTGATTGTCTTCTGGGTGACCGGAGTAGATTATTGTCTCTCCAGTTAGCAGTTGGCACCTTCCGCATCCGTTCCATCTGCTCTCGCAGATTCCCAACACTTCTATTTTATATCTCCTCATTTCTGCGGCTACCTGAGCAGCCTTTCCAGTTTCGTACATTGTACGAATATTCCACGTCCCCATTCTTATTTTTGCTTTCATCGAAAGAAGGCACATCGGCTGACTGGTTTCCCGAAGGCTTTCACCAGGCTGCGTCATTTCACTTCCCCGATTCCAGCGAAAAATAAGGTCATTGTTTGTATTTGTAAAATTTTTAATATATTTGTGCGTTGAAGTTTTAGTAGCAATTTGGTTAAGTTTTGGGGGTGGAGTTGCTAGCACCACGCCCCAACCCTCCCTCTTCATCCGGGCCTGGGACCGGCTAGAATACTAGTGACCTAGTAATCTAGGCGAGGTTGTTCCCTCCTAATGAGTTCCTTAATTATTTACTACCTCTGAGTAATGTTGTAGAAGCCCTTCATCAGAACTATTGCACATCCGAGTAAACTGCTTATATTGATGACAGCTCCACCCCCTCCCTTGTGGTCTCTAACTTGCTTGAACAGAGAGGTACTATGTATGCTGAGGTAGTGATGTTCTTGAATTCTGATAAATTTGTTGTTATTCCCTTCACTCTACTGCAAACAGAATTAACGGCAAATTTTCCCGACTGGTTAGTCCGTGAGTTGGCAATTGAGTCTAGACATGTTAAGCTGGATGGCCGGATGTGGAGCCAACCACCATCAATTTTGCCATGATTCTTATTCTGACCTCCATACTACTACAGTTAGAGACCTCTTCCGTAGGGTATTGTTGTAACATGACTTATGATTAACAGCGCACACTATTTCACTTAGCTGCTACTATAAAGCAGAGTTAGGTTCCTGCACCATCGAATTTTTTTCCCAACCTTATCTTTGACCTCAATGACGGCTGTGTAGGGGACTTAGGCGAGCTCGGTAATGGTACACAATACTAGAATAAAAATCCAAGTTTGTGAAACAATATTGTAACAGTATATTATAAAAATACAGTTAACGAGTTATAGAGATTAATGGTTATTTGTTGATACAGTTAAAGTCCGCTGCTACAGATTATAATTATAATCCATGGAAACGTTCACTGCTGGGGTCGTGTCTACTATTAGAATATTCTCCAAATGAGGATGAGAGGTTCCTGCAAAATCCAAAGGATATAATACAGTTGGTAGTAAGGCAGGTAGACAGTATGGACCAGTGGGAAGACAAAGCGTCGAGCAGCACACTGTATTTTAGATTTTACCCCAAAGTTATGTATATTTTACAACGAATCGTTTTAACCACAAAAGCTGCGTACAATATTTCCATTTTTAACATCTAACAAAAAACTGTACAATCATATTTTTCTAGACTCCACAGTATCCACAAGAGGAAGACTCAGGAAAAAGAGTTAAATCCCACCCTGATTCACAAAGTGTGTAAGAAAATCAATTGCTGTGGTTCGAAAAAAAGCAGAATGATAGTTTCTAAAATACTCACCTCCCCTAGTGCTACCTTTAATTAGCTATCCTGGCCTCTTCTATTGTTAACGATGAATAGACAAATAATAAATTCTTAGATGTGAGAACAATAGAGTAAACACCGACTTTCTTCATTTCTTTCTCGATAATCCATCCCCAGACAGTGAGTGACCTCTTAGATGTGATTTAAATAATAACGGCTTTACTCTGAACAAAAATGCTTACACACTGTATATGATTCTCATAGTTTTCTCTTGCACAATAAATACTGTTTGCCCATTATCTTCAAGTAGAAATGTGGACAGCAGTATATCGCAATACGCTGAAATCAAACTAAAAACGTACAGGAGAACATCTCGAGACCCAAGGACATAACTGGATGATGAAGATAACAAGGCATACAGAAAACTAGCTGCATTTTCGGGGTGAAATTCACGTAGTACACTGCATCGAAAGACCAGCAAACCGTCTGTTATAAGAAGGATTTTAAGACTGTGTTATTCCCTGTCACATTAATGCTAATCAAAATCAGATAATGACCTTCAGTGGTTTAGTATAACTTTTAAGCCGTCCACACTGAGTTAGGCACATATACCATTTAGCACAGTACTACGATTCATCCACAAGACAATTAGTGACTTCATAAGGTGGGTTACTACCGCCTGACAAGCGAAGATTAGCCAAGAACTGATTCGACTGTACGTTAAATTTCGGCATTATTCGACCATCGAATAGCCTATGGTCATCCTCTCTTTACACAGTACCACAGAAGGGTAGCAGCAATCACCGACTCTTGAAGGCCGAAACCGTCCCAAACTACTATCCATAGCTAAATATAGACAACTTACCGGTGGCATTATCTGATGTAATTGTCTCTTAAAAATTCGACTCGTTTAAAGCGTACAGTCGAATCGTGCAGGCATCGGAAGCTATTCTGAAAACAACCAGCAATACCCATGCCATTTGGCTTTCGAAACGCAACACGTACGTTTAAGTGCTTCATCGATGAAGCATTCTGCGGTTATGACTATACACGCACCTCATCGCTAATCCAGATAAGGGAACTCACTTCTCTGACAGCATTCACCCGATCTACACATTTCCGGTATTATTCTGGAGTCTTATGACCTACACTGAACACTGCAAAAAGGCTTCACAGGTACGCACCACTGAAACCTTTATACGCGAAAAATAAATCTTTACGAGAGTAACCTCTTCTTAGTCTTCTAAATAATAATGACGTATGCAGCTAGCAGATCATACAATTCAGTGTACAACTTTTGAAAAAACGTAGTAGATAACTTGCAAATTACACTGCTACACTGAACACAATGGCTATGCTTAACCTATATGAAGCATAACTAACACTAACATAATAATACAGCTGGATTGCCTAATAGTTCTTAGAAATATAGCATACAGATTAACCTGCAAACAGTTCGAATACTGAAATTGATGCAAATAGTGCACCTAGTGGCAACATAAGAAAATTAGAGATTAGAACAATCAGTTGGGATAGATGTAGAGCGAATTACTGTACTGTTTTGTGTACCTTAGATGTACGACTTTCTGCTAATGTACAATGTCCTGCTAGAGTTTAACCTATTAACATTCCACTTATTATCACACTGCATACCTCATCGATAAATTTGTATCAACACTTTGGAGTATACAACTATGTTCATTACTATCCATATCTCAATTTTCACTGTATCAGTGTTAAAATAAGCCATTACATCTTGGATCATCAAGACAGGAAATCAAATCCCTTCAGGAGATATTCTTAAAAATCATTTCTTTTTAAAGCCTACATAGAATCAAAAAGTGAAGGTCTCGAGATCTGCATTCATCTCATAGAATCATCAAAATTATTTGAACAAAGCAAGAAGAAAATACTGAAGAGGATAAAGTAACGAAATCATATTTCGTCGGTTCTCCTCAGCTGCATGCATTCAAAACCAGTTTAATATAAATACACAAGGTATTTAAATACTTTAGTTGTTGATAATAAACTGTTTGTGGTTGTTAGGATAGACAACCAATCTCTGTTAAGCGTGAAGTCATGACTTATGCATGCACTGACATAATAACCTGATTGAACAGTTTTTGATTGGCTTATTTTAGCTTGAATTTCTGAGGAATCATGGTGTCATACAACCAATCAGATTTGTTTATTTATTTATGGCATGAATTCTTGAGGTTTTGTAAACCACATATTTTGAGTAATAAAACATCTGACTTTTGTGTCTATCTCGGTGTGCGGGAAATATTTTCAAGTAAAAAAGTTGGTTACAATGTCGTGTTTGGAGGTGTATCCCAATCAACTTAGATAACAACCACAATCCAGTAACACTCCATCATAACAGTGGTTGTATGCAGTTGAAAAGAACCAACAAAATATAATGACGTCATATTATCTTGCTTAATATGTTCTTCTTGCCTTGTATGAAGTCAAAATTATTCCTCAGAGCTACAAATACTCTTTATCATCTGAGATGGATAATAATAATGAAGACTTCCCTTAAACGATGAACACTATTCTAAAAGCAGATATACAAGATATACCACCGACCGCACAAGACACAGTAGTGGATAACGAAACTGAGCAAAACTAAGATCACTTTCATCATGAGCTGACATTGGTTAGAGAACCATTGGAAAACCTGCAGGGAGTACTGGACACCTGTTTCGTCGTAGTTTGGGACTCTTCATCAGTACGCATCCACTGGGGTTCGAACTCAGGACCTTCTGGTTTCAAGGGTTCCGGTGGGGAGTCGTGACCAGTGGGGTGCAGCAGGTCGGATGTAAGGACAAATACTCACCGAAGACATTGGCTAGCAGTTGCGCTATATCGTGAATTGACAGAGGTCAGAATTCATGGACTGGCCATTGGATCGGGTCCCATTGGCTTAATGGTCTACGAGTTAGCTGGTCTTGTAACCAGAAGGTCCTGGGTTCGAACCCCGGTGGGTACGTACTGATGAAGAGTCCCAAACTAGGACAAAACAGCTGTCCAGTACTCCCTGCAGGTTTTCCAATGGTTCTCTAACCAATGTCAGCTCATGATGAAATCCTGTAACCAATTAACCAAATCCCTACAAACCAAAACTTGAATAAGATCATTTTGATCCATGAAAAAGAATTGATGTAAACAACAACTTTTCAAAGAAAGAAAAAACCTTTTCATTCATTTATTATCAAGCATAATAATAATAACAATACTCCAGCAGTAATGTTCAAGGCTATCAAAAGACGAAAGAAGTACTTAAAAAATAACATAAAACATATTGGCAGCATATAGGCAATAATGAGACTGTTGTCTAGCATACTCACAACTGTTAGACTGCAGAAATGCAAAAAAAAACAAACAAACAACAACTTTAGTTGATCATTGGCTAAACAGAGTAAGACACGAAATCCTCTTTCAGCTGGTAATTTACATATAACAAAGTGTATAAAGGATCGAATCTGTTACACAAAAAGATACGCTAGTTTTCTTTTTCTTCTTCGCCTATACAAACATTCCCGTTGATCAAGTTTCAATAGATTAGGAAATATGCTATACAAGAGATAAATGATTCAAATAAAAGAAAGTGTAAAGGTATACTCTTACAACATAATATTGAAAACTATTCAATGATTGTTTTTGATAAGGGTAAATATACACAGTATGCATGTGTGTGTATTGTACATGTTTTATGTATACAGGTCTGGGCAGTAAGTTGATGATAAAAGGGAACTATGTACAAGCACACAGAGTGTTATTGTGCAATATATAAAGTGATCGTATACAAGAAAAGAATTGAATTGCATAGCAGACAAACAGAAATTACGAAAAAGGCGCTATTGGATAGAAAGCAAACAAACAAATACAACTAGCGGCGGAATTTACAAATGAAAAAGAACAAAACTAACGTAAGTTAAAATACTGAAGAAGGAGTAATGTGAACAGTGGAGGAGTTAAGTACCAAAAAGAAAGAATTCAAAATGGTGACTAGTCAGGTTTTTTGAAAGAAAAACAGACAGTGAATGAAACAAGCACAATAAAAACACAAACAAAACAATAATTCCTATAAAACACAGTTTTACAAGTTCATTATTCAATGAATAAATAAAAAGTTATATTCAAAAATAAACAGAAAACAAAATGCACTTTGAACAAACAACAGCAATAACAACAATACTATGTGCAAAGAACTGACACACCTACAGGCATGATTGAAATTATTAAAGGGAAGGAAGCTATCATATAACTTAAAGAATACCAATATTATTACTAGTATTGTCAGAAGTGAGATAATAATGATAGTAATAAAAATAATCCACACTATGATCAATCAATATAAAGGAATATTCTCAAAAAAAAAAGAAATTGAAAACATCGAATTATTTCAACGTTCTCTGGCAAGATGATGGTGGTGATTGCATCACACTAGAGAGAGAGAGAGAGAAAATAGTCGCTATGATGATTAATAATTCGTATACTTTGGACGAAAGCACATCATGATCTTAAGGATATGAAGTTAGCGATTCGAAGAGAATATTAACAAACAATTGCACATTTCCTGAGTATCAATTTAGTTTCATGGTTGAATAGGAATAAATTGAATACCTAAAAATCAAATGAATAAATAGGAAATACAGATAAAGAGTGGTCATTAGTGGTTAAATAGGTAATTGTGAAGATAATAATTATCGTAATTATTATTTTAATAATAATTAGCTTTCAGTGACCTGAATAGTGTTTCACAAAGAGGCATTTGAAAACAAAGGAATTCATTGGATACCTTCGTTTTATTCTTAACTATTCAGGGGTACGAAACGTTAACAATAATTGTGGTCTAGAAAAGAAATACCTTTTAATATATATGTATACATCACACAGAGGGATTTGCCTACTAATGAATCAATTTACTGGAATTCACAATTACAAAGCCAGATAGATTTCAGTTGCTTTGTGATGTATACATTGATTGGTCATGCACCTTTGACCGTGGCACTCGGTGACACAGTTTCGAGTCTCAAGGGGCGGTAGGATGAGTTTCCTCAACATGGCAGATGCGCCTTGTTGACGAGTGCTAACAAACATGAAACCAAAGTCCAGGACTTCCTACAGATTACCTCCAAATGCTTTACACTTTGAGGGACTCTGTGTAACACTGTGAAGCATTCATGTGGGGTGCTCGATGTCCGGACATGACAAGGTGTTCGAGGATCGAGCTGTTGCTATTCTTCTTTTCTCCTCTATCTGACCAAGCTGGACAGTGTCCCAGAATACGTTTGTGGACTTGACGTTGCGTACGGCCGATATACTTTGCTCCACACGAGCAAGTAAATTGATAAATCCACATTTAAGTGGCCAAAAGCGGTTTCTTGTCCTTAACGTTAGACTGGATTAACTGTCTGCTGGAGAATGTGATACGTAGAGCGGTTGTTGGAAATGTCTTCTTCAGACATTTAGAAAGGCGGTTTCTGAGAATTTCCGCTGCGACATCACCTTTAAATCCTAGGTTCATGAAGAGAGTCTTCTTAGGAACCGTTGCGATGTTTGACACCGGAGGCTTCTCCTTCATGTTTTTGTCAATAAATCCTGGTGGATACCCGTTCTCTATTACGGTTTCACGTAATAAATTTAATTCTTTCTCTACCATGTCTTCCGAGCAGATTTTTCTAATCCTTGAACACAACGTACGTACCAGGTTTCGCTTTCGGACCAGTGGGACGAATCTCTGGAAGTTGATAAACTGTCCCTCAATATCGTACAAAGGGACTTCGGATACGCCAGCTTTACGCTTTATGATGTGTATTACAACACAAATGATATCTAGGGTCATCCAAAATTCTATATATTCATAACTCCTTCAACTACACGCTGAGTCACTGGAAATTTGTCAATCATCCAATGAAGCGAATCGAAATTTAGTTATCATTCAATGACGAATAAATTAAAGACAACAATCTATTTGTCATAAAAGGCGCATCGGTGGTTCAATGACAGAATGGTCGCCAACCACGCAAGTGGTCAGGGTTCAAGTTCAGGCAGACAGGATCTTACACCTCTCCTGGTAAACTAGTCTATAGAGAGACCGGATAAGAGGGAAGCCCCCCTCATCCCGTAAAAATAACACCACCACTATCGGGACTTCAAAAGTTTGAAGCCCTATGATCTTGCACTCGAAACACAAGGAACAGAAAAAGAATTTGTCATAAAAAGAAGAACTAAAGAAAAACGGTGACCGTTTTTTTCAACTTCTAACTAAACACTGGTGGACGTAAGGAGTCTATGACTAGGCTGGAGATAACTGGTGATATGGCTCAAAATTGCTGTGATCTGCTATATCCAAAAAAGCCTGTTATTATTCTTTCCTCTTCACATTTCTGCTTATTATCGTTCTTCCGAATCTCGTTGTTTTTTCTCTTTGTCTTCCATTGTGTGCTTCATGGAGTGTTGTAACTCGAACTGTTGCACTTCTGTACAAACTTCTATGTTGAAACCGGTCAGTCAGTCCATGACCAGGTAACAAATACGATTTAATTCATTTCCATAACATAGTGAGCACCATTGAAATGTGATATTCACAGTACTTACGATTATCTTTCAAAGGTAAATAAAATGGTCATTTACAGTAACATGGCTTCGGTAGTTCAGTGGTATAATACTTGTGTGGTTCGGAGTTTGATCCCCGACAGACGCACTCCTACACCTCGCCTAATTGGTAGTAAGCCTGGTAAAGATAGAATGCTGACATGCGGCTAGCAACCCTGACCCCGGAAAACGAAAGACACCACTGATACTGAAACTTTAAAGCTCAAGCTTGAAGCTCTATATGTTCCACTTGGAACGCAAAGGAATAAAATAATAATAAAAATGAAATAACATGCAAACACTTCGATACATTGAGTTTAGTAAGATCCCATATGTCCAGTCTTTCAGCTCGTTGTTGAGTTAAAAAAGAGGATACATGTATCAAATACATCAAAAAGGGATTCTTCCTTCTACTTCAAATTATTGTAAGTCAAAATTGAAATGAGATCGTTTACCACCACTAATTATTATTTTTTTAAATATTTATTTACTATAGATTGATTCTACAAAGTATTTTGGTACAACTATGGAATTTTCAGCATGTGATATCGGTAGCCTAAATTTAGCAGACCAACCATTGAAATCACGTGTGCGTCAGCTGGCGATCAATCCCCGGACCAGATGCATGGTCGGAGAGAGTCCTAACCACCTTGCCACCAATGCACAGTAACATATAATAATAATTTTTGCTTCATTCCGAAGCAGTACAGCTATCTTAAACCAGTATATCGATCAAAGATTGTCCTTTCTGCTGGGGAAAACAGAATTTATTCAAAGAATTATAAGTACAGATGTATTCACAAAGTGAAAAACCAAGATTTCTACCGCACATCTGATGCAACAAATACCTACTCATCTTCACTCACCTAGTTTACTAGCCAGTCCCAAGCCCGGGTAAAGAGGGAGGATTGAGGGGCGCGTGGGGCTAGCGACCCTACCCCACAAAACCAATGAAACTGCTACAGAAACTTCAACACAAATAAAAATATTAAAAATACTCGTCTTACAAATGTTGGCAATGTCACCAAATATGTAACAAGTGCAGAAATAATCCCAGAACAGTAGAAAAAGCAAATGCAACAAAGTGACAATTGACAGGCTTTTTCTCATTGTTACAAATATCATCAAAACACGAAGTAAATGCATAAAACTCTACTTACCTGATAGTAGTAATTAAAAAACTTCTAAAGATTTGAAAGTTGAAGAGACCTGAGCATCGAAAAAGAATCAAATTGTAGCACAACATGATATGATGATTTCACACTCATGAATTTGGCATACAGGTGTTAGAAATCTGTTGTGTCGGTGGATTACTACCATGTTGAACTGAACGATTCATATAACGACGATTGGTTGATTGACTTAAACCAAAGTATTTTAAGTTTTTATCTGGACTGTACAAATAAAACAAAGGAGATGATAAAATTAAAGCATGTTTAATTGAAGTAACAGTTAACACATACTTATTGCATACAAAAATTGTGTGATTCAACAAAAACCCTAAATGCAGCTGTCACAACTAGAAATTTAGTTTTCCAATGGTCGTCTAACCGATGTCAGTTCATGATGAAATCCTGAAACCATTCAAATCCCTGTGAACCAACATTTGAATATCAATCTGATGCTCACTAGTGACTGGCCCTATTCAGGTAAGTAGTTACCTGGGGTTCTAGTGGGAAGTCGTCACCAGTGAGGTACAGCTAGTCGAGTGTGAGGACAAATACTCGCCGATGACATTCGCCAATGGTTGTGCCATATCACGAATTGGCAGAAGTTAGAATTCATGAACCATCAGAGGAACCAATGGATAGGGTCCCAGTGGCTTAATGGTATACGAACTCGCCTTGTAATCAGAAGGTCCTGGGTTCAAACTGATGAAGAGTCCCAAACTAGGACGAAACAGCTATCCGGTACTCCCAGGTTTTCCAGTGGTTCTCTAATTGATGTCAGTTCATGATGAAATCCCGAAATTCGGTTATTTATTTATAACGTCTAAATGCATAGGTGTATACAAAAAACCCACTAGCATTTCAGTACAGTTGCATACCAGTTGTTAGGAGGTTGTAGACAATAGACGATAAGTTGTGGACCTAGGTTCCGTGTTTGTTGACGCTCGTTAGCAAGGCGTATCTGCAATCATCAAGGAACTCATGTCATTCCTGAGATCTGAACTCGAGTAACTACCCAGTGCTGCAATGAGAGACGTTGCCAGTGAGCTATTCAGGTTCGTGATTGACCTTCTATAATACCCAGCTTGTTCACGATAAGTGCTTCATTCATGAGACGGTTATACAGTATATCAACTCCCTAAATATTCAATCATACGTTACGTTACAAAGAAATTCTGTTGGTTTATTGTTTTCCATAAGTGAATAGTTCCATCAAGTATCCTACTTCATTTTCTGACGAAGGCAGTACTGAAGATTACAACAAGCTTGTAAAAATCACATCTTGTGCTACACATCTTATCTTATTCCAACACTAATTTCACTCAGTGTAATAAACAAATAAGTGTACGATTGGGAATACGTTGAGGAGGCCATCAAATGACAATGAGAGCGATGCAAGCCATCACTCGAGTGGGACCACAATGGGAAGTGACGAGTGAATTGTCTCGTCGATGGTGACATGGAGGAGATCGTACGAAGAGGTTATGAGAGATTATAGGCAATCGTGAACCCAGCTGAAGAGGGCGGCAGAAAATAGGACAAAGTGGAGATTGTTTTATTAAAGCTCTATGTTCCACTCGGAACCCAAGGGAATAATAATAATACCCTTTCTACATGTTTTTTTCAGTGTCTGGTGAGTGAAATAACAAGAAATAATTCTTGAAGTGATCCAGGATCTAGGATGCACATTTCGTTCTATTTGGGACTCGTCACATCTGGATATACCTGAATTCCCAATGAGTAATGTGTGAGACACCAAAACATAATTCCAACAACTTCAGGTCAATGCTTAGACATGGGTTGAAGCATGCGTACTGGAAGTCAGTATGTTAACAAAGACTGAGTACTTCGGTACAGCATAATCAATCACCGGGAAATACAAATTAACTTAATAATAAAGACATAATTCTTTTTAATAATTCAATAATTCCCATTGTAGCATTAAGAACACAATATTCAGCGAAGAGACTCTTTTCAACGAATTTATCATCAGGCTGTACAATCGCATATATATGGTTTTTAAGAAATTATATCCGGTGTGGGAATTAGGTCAAGGGTGTAAATACATGAAATAATAATAATAGTATGAAATGCAATTGAAATATTTGTGATTATAATCATAGTTTAATGTCAAGTGGCAAAATAATTAATGTAATAATAATAAATAAGGTGTAGAGATTTTGGAAAGGGGTACATAGGAGTCGATCAGGTGTTCCAAAATAGAGCTTCGCACACATTTCCTTTCTCCCTTGTAAAACCATGCTGGAATATGTACTCGTATCCATGTGGAAAGCGTCCTCTGACTACAGTCAATGTAACTGGCTCCACAAGAGCAGGTGAACTGATAGATGCACATGGAGGCGGCCAGACGGGGAAGCTTATCTTTTACAGAGGTAGAGAACAGCTTGCTGCAAAGAACGTCTTACTGACTGATTTAGAGAGACGATTTTTGAGCATATCTGAAGCTTGATCACCTTTGAATTCCAAGTTCATGAATAAGGTTTTCTTTGGAACTGAGTCGGTGACCAGTTTAGACTGCTTATCTTTCATGTTGCTGTCAATAAATCGGTTAGGGTAACCATTTTCTGCGAGCGTGGCTTTTAAGAAGTCAAGTTCTGAGTCAACGCAATCAGAACTACAAATTTTCCTTATCCTAGAGCAGAGCGAATGAATTAGGTTCCTTTTCCTGGAAATAGGCACCCAACTGTAAAAATTAGTTAGTTGTCCGTTCCATGTACGTTTCCGATGGATAGATCTTTTGAGAGATCCGTCATTACGTCTGCTAAGGCACACATCAAGAAACGGAATACTTAGTTCGGATTCCTTTCCTACGGTGAATTGTAAAGAAGGATGGCAGTTGTTGAAAGCAAACAAGACATCATCCAGAATTACGTTATTATCGCAGATATAACGAAAGTGTCGTCTACGTATCTTTTATAAATGTCAAAATGACCGATGGTCTGACTAAGTTGAGAATTTTCGAGCTTTGCCATAAAACAATCAGCCAACAAGGGACCCCCAGTGGTGATCCCATGGCAATGCCATCTCTCTCTGTCTAAAAATCTCATTATTGAAGGTGAACTGAACATTCAACGTGCACGTTGAATAATAAAGACATAATTCTTGTTAATAAAAAAACCATTAATCATGGATTTAAGGAATACATATTTTTAAATGACTAAGAATATATATATAGCAAAAAGTCTGAGACAAAACTCACTTAGTACTACTACTGGCAGCAGCCATTATATCAGGATGAATATGCAGGGATGATGATGGTAATTTTGATTGATGACTAGTATGACTGACATGAAATGAATGTGAACGTGGATGATGACATTCTCTGGGATGTTTAACTTCATTATTCATAGGATAAGAGGAATCAGTATACTGACTGTTGTACATATCCACGTGATGACTGTTGTTGTTGTTGTTGTATTATTATTATTATCATTATAATCTTTATTAAAGTTAACTGGATTAGATGGTGATGGTGGTGTTAGTAAGCCAGGATCATAATTAGGAATACAAGAAGTAAACATAATGTTCATTGGTTGTTGTTGTTGTTGCTGTTGTGGAAGATAATGATTTCCACTCATCATTAAATGATTAAAATTCATCATGAATGGAGGAGAATTGGATTCCTCGGCGTACAGGTTACAACCATTACGTTGATATTGCTGCTGTTGTGCTGGTTTGCTGGTAATGATGATGATGATGACGGCGGCGTTGTTGTTGATGATGATTTGAATCATTCCTAAATGATGCTGATGCTGATACAGTTCGATGAAAATGATTTGGATGATTAGAAACTACAACAACAACTGGAGATTTTTCACCATTGTGCTTACCACTTACATCATTGTCATTATGATATGAATGATATAAGTTTGGATTTAAATGTGAATAAGAACAGAATTCTGTAGAATGCGGTTGTTCACACTGCTGATGAGATCGATTGCTTACAGCATCTTTCTCAGGTAAACCAAATTCATCTATTAATTTAGAGGAAAACAAAAAGAAAAAAAGGAAAGATGAAAGAACAGAGTGAAATAACTGTGAAGAGGATAAACCGGTACACATTACTCAGTAAGTGTATGGGTAAAGTGACGAGATGAGTATCTCCATGAGCTTACCGGAACAAAATCCTTGATGTACATACAAAATACTCCCATTGTACCGACAGAAGACAAGGGCCAGGCAATAGATTGTTTATTGAGATAATCAAGAGGTATTTATAGATTTTTATGTGCATTATTGTTAGCGATATTATTAACGGAGAAGCAACCTCCTCTGATTGGTTGTTTGCTTGCTGAAGGTTATTCTGCACCACTTGTGACCGTTTCTTACACAGTTAAGCCATATATCTGCGAATCGTATTTGTACAAGTTAAGATCTGCTGTGATTGGTTGGTGAGTTCATCAAAGTTAGGCTTTGTTATTGTTTTTCTCATGACCCCGATTCGGGACGTGAACATTGATGTTAATTGTTATCTACAATTTTGGCTTGCAGACAGCTTCCACCACACCTCTACACAGGTAAGTCATCGTTAAACTCACACTTTTTTCATGCAACCGGTTCCCTTTATTAGTTTGAAGAGAGAAAGAATGAACATGTTTGCAGGATAATACGAGCTCGTTTTATTTCGTGGATTCTCATCAACTGCATACATCCTAAACAAAATCAAATTATAGGTTTCAAGAAAGTTGTGGAACATACTTTTTCATAAATACTTTGAGTTATAGATAGAAGGCATAAGGAACATAATTCCAGAATTTGATGTAGGTAGACAGGTTATTCGGTGTCAAAAAACAACTAATTATATATAGTGGAATTAGATAAGAGGGGTAAGAGTTCAGATTTCTATTGGAAAACAACACAGATTGGTTAGAGGCATATTACAGGGTCAGGGTCAGAGAACAAAGTAAATTTACACATCTTGTGGTGGAGAGTTTAAGAGGGTGGGGGTGAATAGTGAAGTAACATTTATAACTTAAACAGACAAACAATTAAGTAGATTTAGAAACTTGAAGGTCAAAATTGAATAGAATGTTACGTAACAAGACAAACACACAGGCATACTGACAGAAAGGCAAAACAAAAATAAAATAAAATAGAGTTAGGGTTACCAAGGTAGTGAAAGATTAATCACACTATCTTTCTGTATACAAAGGTCTGGTCGAAATCTCTTGATAGCAATGGCTTCTGCGAAGCGAAGTAGCCGTGGGTTTCTTTGTGTATTGATTATTTTGAAGGCTTGGCTGATTTCTACTGTGTGTCCTGTGTCAATTAGATGTCTGGCGATTGCACTTGATAACACTTTTCTTCCTTTTGTACGGAGACTCTTAGGAATGTGCTCAGAAAATCTAGTAGATGCTGTCCTCTCAGTCCTTCCTATGTACTTGCTACCGCAGGTGCACGTGAATTGGTAAATGCAGTTGGAGTTGACGTGAGTAGGGAACTCATCTACTTTTGACTGGGTTAACGAGCACACAGTGTTGTGAAGTAGGATCAGTCTGGCGGCTGGAAACGTTCTTTTTAATGCACCTGTGATTCTTTTTTGTGTTCTTGTGGATACGTCTTCCCCTTTGTACGCTAGACAGATGAAAACTGGTTTCTTTTCAACGGTGTCGGGTTTCGGTTTGTGTACTTCTTCATTTCTATATTTTAATATGAACTTTCGAGGATATCCATTCTCGATAAGGTTCTTTTCGATGATCTCAAGTTCTTCTTCAATCTTGTCTTCTGAACATATTTCTTTGGCTCTGCTGAAGAGCGTTTTTACTAGACATCGTTTGTAACTTGAGAAGCTATGAAGAAGAACTTGAGATCATCGAAAAGAACCTTATCGAGAATGGATATCCTCGAAAGTTCATATTAAAATATAGAAATGAAGAAGTACACAAACCGAAACCCGACACCGTTGAAAAGAAACCAGTTTTCATCTGTCTAGCGTACAAAGGGGAAGACGTATTCACAAGAACACAAAAAAGAATCACAAGTGCCTTAAAAAGAACGTTTCCAGCCGCCAGACTGATCCTACTTCACAACACTGTGTGCTCGTTAACCCAGTCAAAAGTAGATGAGTTCCCTACTCACGTCAACTCCAACTGCATTTACCAATTCACGTGCACCTGCGGTAGCAAGTACATAGGAAGGACTGAGAGGACAGCATCTACTAGATTTTCTGAGCACATTCCTAAGAGTCTCCGTACAAAAGGAAGAAAAGTGTTATCAAGTGCAATCGCCAGACATCTAATTGACACAGGACACACAGTAGAAATCAGCCAAGCCTTCAAAATAATCAATACACAAAGAAACCCACGGCTACTTCGCTTCGCAGAAGCCATTGCTATCAAGAGATTTCGACCAGACCTCTGTATACAGAAAGATAGTGTGATTAATCTTTCACTACCTTGGTAACCCTAACTCTATTTTATTTTATTTTTGTTTTGCCTTTCTGTTAGTATGCCTGTGTGTTTGTCTTGTTACGTAACATTCTATTCAATTTTGACCTTCAAGTTTCTAAATCTACTTAATTGTTTGTCTGTTTAAGTTATAAATGTTACTTCACTATTCACCCCCACCCTCTTAAACTCTCCACCACAAGATGTGTAAATTTACTTTGTTCTCTGACCCTGACCCTGTAATATGCCTCTAACCAATCTGTGTTGTTTTCCAATAGAAATCTGAACTCTTACCCCTCTTATCTAATTCCACTATATATAATTAGTTGTTTTTTGACACCGAATAACCTGTCTACCTACATCAAATTCTGGAATTATGTTCCTTATGCCTTCTATCTATAACTCAAAGTATTTATGAAAAAGTATGTTCCACAACTTTCTTGAAACCTATAATTTGATTTTGTTTAGGATGTATGCAGTTGATGAGAATCCACGAAATAAAACGAGCTCGTATTATCCTGCAAACATGTTCATTCTTTCTCACACTGTTTTCCTCATTCCCTACGTCTCAAGTTTTGAAGTTTCAGTAACGACAGTATTGTTTGTACCGCGTAGGGTTGCTAGCGTCACACTCAACCTTCCATCGTTTCCGAGCTAAACAAGGACTTAGCAAGGTTTACGAGTGTCATCTTACAATAGGATAACCCTTTTGCTTACTGGAGGCTTTATTAGTGGCTAAACGGCAAGTACTACCCAACAAATTAGGTATATAAGTCATCCACACCCCATAATCTTCCAGGACATTTTCGACATTTAAGTAAAGCAAAATAGCAAGTGAAATGAAGTTATAGCTTGGTTATTATGCCGAGATAGTTACAGCAAAACGTTGATCGAAAACAAAAACAACACCAGTAATTCTTATTCGAATCTTGAACATAATGAGAATTTCCGAAGGTTGTAGAAATGTTTCATTGAGGGACAACTGAAGGGTAACAAACATAAGCCGAAGGCGTTTTAGTGATTGACTCCTAACGTCTTAAAGTATGAATTCATTGTACAGAGTAAGGCTTCGAGAAACTACAAAAGAAAATTGGATTTTATGGGGTTCTTGGTTATCACACTCATTAGTGTTAAATGTTCAAACAGACACGCACACACACACATACACTGCACTCTTAACATTATGTCTGCATTTCACAGCTGAATGCACCCACCCCTAACATTGATCATAAACCAAGGCGGTGTTACAACATGCATAATATAAGTTTTAACCTTCTCAAACAATGAAGATTCACAACCTCATGGAATAACTATCTTCCTTACCTGATAGCCACACATATGATTTAATTTGGGACTTTTAGTCCACCTAACTACTTACTTTACTTTACTTCGGCTATCTTCTACGGGAGGATGAGCCGGCTTCATGAACATCTCGAATCATCGCTGCACAGGCGCGGCGATCTGATGCAAGGTTTTGCGACAGGGTTATCCAATTCTTGTTCCACAGACGGATTCCGTAGACGGTTTGTAGCCCCAGGCACTCCATATCAGCCTTGACTGTACCAAGCCATGTTTTCAGCTGTCCACCCCTGCGACATCGCCAAGATGGTAATGGCGAGGGATTTAGAACTGATTTGACCAGATCGTCATCTGGTGGGCGCAGAACATGGCCAAACCACCGAAGGCGACGGTGTTGGACCAGTACTGGTGAGAGTCGTTTGTAAGAGAGTTTATGAAGTTTCATGGGAATTTAGTACGAGTGATGTCCCCAGAATCGCTCGGCCTTTTGTTTGAGAGTGCAGCTCTAGCCTTTACACAACCAAGTGTGACCTACAAGGCAGCAGGAGTGGAGTAGGGAGTTCACTATCCATTGGCAGCCGGTGACCGGAGTTCGGTTCATACGCCTTTTTGATTGGGGCCAGACATCCAGGACATCCAACAAGCCCTTTGTCCATACGTCTGCCGGTGAGCTCCAGTGAGCTTCACACGCCAGTCGTTGGAGGTTTGGAATCAGGGTTTAGCCATCTCCTCTAGACTGTCATCCAATGGACAGTCAACCCGGTGAAGAGCGCCGGGCATCCGCTTTCGCCCTCTCACTATGGTGAGAAACACCTCCGCCACGTGAAGGCAGTGAGTAGGATTTCCTCAGGAGAGGCTATGTAAGACGCCCGGTCATATGGGAGCATTTCAAGAAGTGTGCGGAGGGGTGGCTAACTCGCAGCGCAAGGCACCCACCCCCGACCATCCGGAGGCTTTGGAGGCCTAACGTTAACAAATGAATGAATGTCAACCAAACGCATAGGACAGTGGAACTAAGAATTGTACAATTTGACTACTACAGTAATCTATGGTTAAAATAGTAGTAAAGATTTTAAAGTGCATCGGTGGCAAAAGCGGTAGAATGCTCACCAACCGCGCATATGGTCCCGGGTTCGATCCCCGACCGACGCACTCCTTTACCTCGCTAAGTCAGTAATAAGACTGGTAGAGGGCGAAGGTTGAGTATGAGGCTAGCAACCCCATCCCGTAAAAATAGGCACCACTGCTACCGAAAATTAAAAAAAGCTGTAGCTTGAAGCCCTATGTTCCAATGGGGACGTAAAGGAATTTAAAAAAAAAGAAAATTTTAAAAGTTATGGAAACAAATACACGTATTCTGAAGGTGACAATTTTCTAGAGCATTTGTACGTGTTTAAAAATTGTGTTTTTTTAGGGACATACATTATACTACTTACACTGTAGTTATTGTGTACAGAGGGAAAATAGCATAACGTAAGGCAATATAATTTACACCTACATATAATCGATAATTATGTTAGTGTAATATATTATTCCTTTTCTTTTAAAAGAAAAAAATACCTCGGAGCAGTGTAACTTTACAGAGAAAAAAAACACAACAACAACAACTGGTGACAGTTAAACTAGGCGTTACAATACAGTAAACAGTTACAACAGTTACAGCTATAAATTCGATAGCGTTGTATTCATATACCAAAACGAAAAAAAACATGAACACAATAAACTACATGTTGTACGCATTAACAGTATTCTTTCTCTTCTACTTAATAACATAATTCTAAATGTATTACGTTTCAAAGTGGAAAAAGTTAGTAGTATGTAGTATAAGGTGTACAAAATAGTAAGAAAGTGCCATTCGGATATTTTATTTTACAAGTCAAACAATCTAATGTTGTAATATCTTTCCATAATTTTTCATGGATTGACGTCATGGTTTGGTTTGACCACCTTAAGTCTTTTCCGACGAAATCTTATGTCAGTTAACACTACTTACTTGTTGAGAAAGGTGGTGGTGGCTGAAGACGTGTTTTAGGCATTTGCATCAAGTAATACCGCTTATCAGAGAGATTGTGATAATTTCAATAGCAAAAGGCTTTGTTTGTTTAAGATCGAGTGTATGCCTTCTGACTGAGATTTGGGAACACACGAACTGATATCTAGAGAATACTGTGATTCTAGGAAGTTAGAAGAAAGAGTTGAATGAATTTTTTACAATACTTGTGGAATTGTTCCAGAATACGCGAATTAACCTCATTCAGTATTTACAATACTAAACCTTTATTAACCTCATTCAACAGATATATGATTATGTCACATGTAAAGTGATTCAAAACAGACACTTGGTGATGCCTTTGAATTGAAATCAGGAGTAAACCAAGTCTGTCAGTTATCTCACCAGTAATATTTATGATTGTGATGGAGTGGATCACGAAACAAACCTTGAGGAGAGAGATGACAAGCACACGAAGGACTGACAAGAAAAGTGGATGATTTATGAGTAATGTTACACAAACTCAAACACTTGTAGGCGAAAACCAACAAGTCGGCAGGACAAGCAGTAAAGACAGCATTTCAAGCGAACATTGAAAAGACAAAGGTGATAAAGATACCCGCTCGCCAACAGCTAAAAAAAGCATCAATCACCATCCAGTCAAGTGTGAGGATGGATGTCCCGCCGATGACATTGGTTGGAGGTCGAGTTAAATCACGAATTGATAGAAGTTTGAATTCATGGGCTGGTCAGTGAATTGGGTCCCAGTGACTGAATGGTATACGAGCTTGCGTTGCAACCGGAAGGTCCTGGGTTCGAACCCCATAGTGTGGGTGCGTACTGCCGATGATTCTTCAAAGAGCTAGGATGAAACAGCTGTCCAGGACTCCCTGCTAGTTTTCAATGGTTCTCAAACTGATATCAACCCATGGTCAAACTCGTGGAATCACTCTGAAAATCTGATGCACTAGGTATAAAGAACACGATTCGGATTTTCAACACTAATGCCAAGTCGATTCTTTTATATGGTTCAGAGACTTGGCGTTTCACAGAAGTATTTGAAACAGGCTGAAGACTTTCATCAACAGCTACCTCCGCTCCATGCCTGAAAATCAGATGACCAGAAAGAACTAGCAACAAACCAAACAAGAACATATCGACCAACAAATATGCTGAATAAAGTGGAAATAGATGGGAAACATGCTGATGAGACCGATGAGTAACATCGCCGCTTAGGCCCTAGAGTGGAACCTGAATGGGAAACAACTAGTTGGACGTCCGAAAGTAACATGGAGGAGATCATGTGAGATGTGCGCTTATCGGCAATCGTTAAGCCAGGTGAAGACGACTGAAGAGAACACGGGGAAGTGGAGATGTGCCATTGAAGTTCTATATTCCAATTCAAACTGAAGGGAATAAAATTAATAATAATAATAATAAATAATAACTGGTGAATAGTATCGTATAGTACAAGTGATAACAAACTACATAGATCTGGAGTATAGAGTGAAACGATGTAGTCTATTATTCACTTATATAGAATTCAAAAACCAGGTGGTTTAATATCTATACTAAAGAATGAGTTGCCTAAAAGATGTTAATCTTAGTAAGAGAAGTTAAATCTACTGATAATTATGACAATAATTATCTTAAATAAAGTAGAGTGAAATATGAGAACACAGTTTCTTTCTTTCCGTTTATGATATATACAAAAGTATAACTGAAGTACTTTAGGACTTTGACTGAGGACGTAATTTTATGTGACACATCATTAAGCCAGAAAAAAGCCTGGAAGATCAACTACATAATTGCGATATAACGACGAACGCTAACCTAAAAAGAACATTTACCCTAAACACAGTATAATAGCCTGACAGGCGTAACTTGTCCAGTTGTTAGATGTTACCACATGCATGTTAATGCGCTTGGTAATAAGCCACACCTGTAGTACGAAAGCTGATGATATAAGCTGGCTTCTCAAAGTGGCTTGGAAGTCGACTGTCTAGTCTGGGGAGCCACAGTGCCATCTTCCCAGTTGGCTTTAGACACTAAGAATAATCATTCCATATTAACACAAACAGTACAGCTAATACTACAAGTGTTCAGTAAATTACATCTAAGATTTAAGAATTGCATATGCTAGCTGTTTTGCAGCATAATAAAGATGATAATACTTCCCTGGAATTCAATTGCCCTATACCAGTCTATGAGCCGCACATATAGTATAAAGGCTAATAATACTACCCAGTTATCCAGGATAAAGTAGATGGAGCAGGATTCGAACCCATGACCAATAAACTAAAAGTCGAATGCTTAGACCAATGAGCCACATCTCCACATTGGAAGTCCTAACTGGGACCAAAGTTGCTTAACCTCGGTGACTGCATGAGAACCAGTGTTTTCAACGTAGTATGGTCGTCGACTTACATACCTAAAGTCAGTAAGTTTTCTAATTAACAAATCAATATGAATATCACAGGCTTTAACCATAGACGTGCTGAATACGCAACACAACTGACTACCTTAGAATCTTCTATTGAAGTAAGGAGGTTAAAATTACCACTTTCATAACAACACAGAGACATACAAACACATAAAGACATTGGAATGAAAATACCCCACTTTTAATATAAAAGAATAAATATTAATAAAAAACACAACTATTTCTTACCATCAGTACCACCATGCATTGAACCACCGCTTGGCGGTTCACGTTTTAAACCATTCAACATTGCAGACTGGAGCAAATAGCTTGAATCTTTATGATTTGTTGCATTTTCCATAAGCCCTGATGAATCAATCATAGATTTATCAGTACACGATGATGTTAATAATAAATGCGGATTTGCAAATGAGCTGTCTACAACATCATCATCATGATTATTTGTATGATTCATTATTGTATGACAAGATGGGCTGCTGACTGGATAATCCAGACAATTCATATTTCTATGTACAGGATAGTAGTAGGATTTAGACAGCATATCCACAGACTGCTGATTATTAATGTTATTATTATTATTTTCATCATTGCTGGAGATTAAACTTCTTAACTCGAAATTTTCATTTCTAGTTAAATATTTAGGTGGAGGCGGAGGTGCTGGACTCATTGGTGGCGGTCGCGAGGGGAACAACTGTACACCTGTTCTTTTAACATTTTGTTCAAAATTGACATCCATGACTCGATGATTGTCATTGGTGACATTAGGTGAAGTTGTCAGAGGAGTGGAGTGTAAGTTATCCAGTAGAAATCCACCACTAAGATTGCCTTTTTTCAAATTTTTGTCGGTAGCTGCAAATGAACAGAAGAGAATTCATTTTTCATAAATCAAACATCAACACACACACATATATATGATACTTCATGCAAAGTAGAACATAACAGTGTCGAGCTACACTACATATAATACAAGATGAAACTATCAATTTACTGAATGGTTCATAATGTTTGCAAGAAAAAAAACGCATTCTTAACTGACCTAGTTTTAATACCAAAGGGAAATATGATATGAGAACAGATTAACTGCTTGTATCTCTAGCATTTAATACAAAATTGGATGAGTTATGTTTACAAAAGTGTAAACGATCATTTACTATGGTTACACAGATGCATTCAGATTCAGAGCATGTGATAGACTGGTGTATAACTGTAATACAAGTGGAATGATTTACGTATTTTACGCATATGAATTCTCTATGAAACAGATGCGGTTTGTTGCATGATGAACTCATCAATGTTGTATTTGTGGCTGACGAAACTGTTGCGCAACATTTAGTTCACTACCACAACTAGTTAACAATGACTATTGTCTGTTATGCGAAATATTTTTTTTTTTGATTACAGCTTGATGCCACACCGTAAGTTTTGGTACAGGTATGGAATTTTCAGCATGTGATATCAGTAGCCTAAATTTTGCAGGCCGACCATAGATATCAGGTGTGCGTCGGCAGGGGATGGAACCCCGGACCATGTACATGATCGGCGAGAGTCATAACCGCTGTGCCACCGACGCACTCTATTTACTCTCTTCTCTTGCTTTGTGTGGTACATGAAGGGAGTGTGGCAAGTTGAACTGGTGCACACCTGTGCAAAGTTCTATGTGAAATCTAGTTAGTCAGTCAGTCAGTTAAACAAAAACAGATACTTGCTTATAATGGCAAAGGAGTTACGAAATAAAGATGAGAGGTGGGTAAGCTGATGATTAACTAATTACTTGAGTAACAAATTGTGTTCAGAAAGAAACAGTTATCAGTCTATCCTGGCCACGGTAAACTGGATCTCTTTATTCCCTGTTTCATTTGATTACGTAATCTTTGCCTTTAACCCCACCCCACCCATTTGATACAGTATAACTTTACTTGTCTCTTGTTTCTATGATTCCAGTTGAAGTCACTATATCGTTACTCCATTTTACTCGTTACTAATCATCTTACTTATCTGTCGTCCTTATTGCGTAAATCCTTTGCCACTATAAGTAAACATCTATTTTTGTTTAAACTTCAACTTTCTGGGTATAAACAATATATAAGTTTACAAGTATTGGTTTCTAGGGATTTTGTTTGATTGGTTACAGGATTTCATCATGAGCTGACATCAGTTAGAGAACCATTAGAAAACCTGTGAGTACTCGACAACTGACTGTTTCATCCTAGTTTCGGAATCATCGGCAGTACGCACCCACCACCAGGGTTCGAACCCAGTACCTTCAGGTTACAAGGCCAGCGAGCTCGTAAACCATTAAGCCATATATATAAAAGTGTTCATACAATGAGTAGTAATGGTAGAGTTTGCTTTTAGCACCAAACTCTTTTTTTGCTATTGAGACCATCTCAGATACAAAATGAAGGTTGTTGAATGGTGATGGGAATTTATTGAGAAAGTTTCCGATGTTCCGGTTCTTAATTAAATGGAAAACGGCACTTCTCTTCAATTAACTAAGCTTTAAAATAAGTTAGAATAGACTGGTTGGGAAGCTTATATGACAATGAAAAGCCTCTTGGGTATCATTTTCCACGTAACACCTTACTGGACACCTCAGAGATTAAAGTGTAATTGAGTTCTAACCAATGTAGGGATTGGAGCACAATAGTGCATCTATTCAAGTCACCACAATTAGAAAATAGAACACAAAATAAAATAAACAGGATGATATTACAACAAAAAACTATTGTATGGAGGATTTCATCATGAGCTGACATCAGTTAGAGAACCACTGGAAAACCTGGGAGTACTGGACAGCTGTCTCGTCCTAGTTTGGGACTCTTCAGCAGTACGCACCCGCCGGGATTCGAACCCAGGACCTTCTTTTCATGTTCTTACAGACAGACTTAACACGATAACACACAAACTACTTTCCACAAAGGTCCAATCGAGGGTAGGGTAAATTTCGGTTTTACTCGCCTATGTGAATTTTAGTTCGTTGAGATAGATCAAACAACGAAACTTATAAACATATCTTAAAATAATTATTAAATTGATTCAAAGAGAAGTTATGCACCATATATATAGCTAAGCGGTTTGTTTAATTTACCAACTCTAATGTCGTCGGTTTAAAGCTCAGTGATGTTCTTTTGCATAAATATCTACTTGCCGAAACATAATCTTGAATCATAGGAACATAAGAGGAGTATTGGCAGTTCCATTTCACTGACTTTAATCTTATTATCAACTTTTTGTCGGCTATCAGTCATATGATCAACTACCTCCGAAAGTACGCTATGAATTTAAAACAGACCAATAGGATGCAGAGATTTATTCATATGCATCACACAACCTCATAAAATAATCAGGAATTAAACTGCAATTAAAGTCCGGTCAATAGTCCAGTCTCATAACTTATTTGATAATTAATATGCACAATAGTAACTCAACAGTATCATTTCCAATGAAAGCAAAAAGTTAAAATAATAACTTGACTTCTGCACATTATTTTCTACACTTAATAAAAGTTTTATGTTTGACTATGGAATGATATCAGTTAGACAACCACTGAAAATCAGGGAGTACTGAACAGCTGTTTCGTCCTTGCTTGGGACTCATCAACCTTCCGGTTACAAAGCAACCTCGTAGACCATTCAGCCACTGAGACACGAATCAATGGGCCATGACTACTAGCTCCTACCAATTCATGATTTTAGCGAGACTAACAGCCAGTGTCATCGGCGAGTATTTTTGTCCTCAATCTCGACTGGTGGACCCCACTAGTCACGACTTCCTATAGCCAGTCACCAGCGAGCATAAGATTGATTTTCAAGAGTTAGGACGAAACAGCAGTGTAGGATTCCCTGGTTATCAATTGTTCTCTAAGTGATATCAATCCGTGGTAAAACTTGTTAAAAAAAATAAGCTAAACTAACCTTGATTACAAGGTAGATTGTAATTGTCACAAACACCACTAGCACGATTGATCACTAAACGATGTTTATCTCGTCGTTGACGGCATATACACAATACAACTAGACAGATCATAATTAAAAGCATTACACTGGTAAGAGCACCCAAAATAAGAAACATTAATTTATTCGATTCCATTGAATTAAATGCAACTATATTTTTATTATTATTGTAGTGATCACGTGATTTGGATGTTGAACGCAAATCAGAATCCTGACTGTCAAGTTTATCATCACTAGCCACCATTGAAATCTGAAAAAGAAAATTATTGATTTAACACAAATTTTATTTTTGTGAAATTCGTGGGGGGGGGATTTTTGTTGTAAAATACGCTCAGTATATCAAGAAATAAGGATAAACCACCTAAATTTCGCCTCCTCTATGTGTATATACCATTTTGACTGCTCCTGTGTAGTTAGTTACATTGGACGTAAAACGCTTCATGTTCATCATCGGATTTCTGAACATCATCTTAAGCGGTTATACAAAAGACAAAAAAGGTTCATTCTTAGCACTATTTCACCTCACCTTGCAAACAAAAAGCATACAGCTTCTTTTCGCTTCACGTTCCCCAGTGGAACATAGGGCTTCAGGCTTGTGGCTTGAAGTTTCTGTAGCAGTGTTTATTTTTACAGGATGGGGTTGCTAGCCACATGCCCAACCTTTCCGCTTCACCAGCATTATTTCTGGCTTAGCGAGGTAAAGGAGTGCGTCTGTGGCCGGGGATCGAACCCCGGACCATGTGCATGGACGGAAAGCGTCCTAACCGCTATGCCACCAAGCATACAGTTGATTTCAGCAAAGTATTTGAAGTCATTTATGGTATTCTGACCAATGTTAATTTTGCTCTAAGAGTTCATCTTCTATATAGAGCTGAAGCCATAGGGATCCATCTAAAAACGGAATTCGTAAAGTCGAAGAATTCCACATCTCGGTCATTACTATACTTCACCGTAAAAGTTTGACAGTTTCTCTTTCCCCCTTTAAGCCATTTGTAACTATCTAATTATTCTACCCCCTTTAATTGTTGTATTAATTTTCCTGAGCATATGATCACTTACACACGCTTTTGAACCGTAATTCTGTTGATGCGAACAACTCGGTACTTTTAAAAAACACAACAATATTGTCAATACAATTACATATCGGTTGTAAGACTCGAGTTTTGTTCAAGAGGGTGCAAGAACACTATCCTGCCTGCTTACGAAGAGGTGGAAGTGGAGCAATAAGAAGCGCGATCATTGAACATCTTGTCGATAATGATCACCCTATCTCTATAGCCTCCGCCTTTAAAGTCATCTACAAGGCAAAGAGTAATTTACCCAAATCCCTACGTACCCGACTCATCTGTATTGCTGAAGCCATCTTTGCCTATCGAAACAGAAAAGCCAGATCTCTGTGTACAGAAAAAGTTCTTCCAACCTTCCAAATTTCATGGTCTTGATCCGTCTATGCTAAAGTATGGTAAACCCCAATCATATTTTAGCTGTACCACTTTTCATTTTGTCTATTCAATTTGTATTCTCTTCCTTATTACGTCAAATGTTACTATTACTACTCTCACTTTTAATTGTCCCCGGTATTATTTCACTTGTTCCACTTGTCATTCTAAATCAATTCCTTTATGCAACATTAAATTCTATGCTATTAAATTTCACACAATATTAAGTTACGTTTTTATTTTATTCGATTTGTCTACTAATCCTATAATTGCATACCCTTTTTCAAGTTCTATCCATCTTATGAATTATTCTATATATGACATTAATTGTTCTAAGATTTCGTCATCCATCAACCTGCTGGAACTAGCTGATGCAACTTCCCAAATAAGTGAAGCGGTCAACGTGCTCTACCACTTCACTCTCTATTTCTAATCTAGAAGTCAGTGTAGTCTAGTCCTGTAACATCATCTTACATTACAAAGAATCATAGTGAGTAGAACTTTATGCGAGAAAGTAAACAGTAAAGAGATAAAGCATAGGGATTTAGTTAATCTGGGAGATTACAAAGAATGAATGCATCCACGTTATTGACAACAGTTTAGAGACATATCATCAACAGTTTCAAGCCAATGGTTCTTAGTATTGCTAGTATCTCAACAAGGCAGTTTATACCTCTCTACTAACAAACTAATAGTAAGAGACTTCATGGATTCAAAATCAAATCACTCCAACCCCGTAGTCAGATACACTGGCTACACTACTATAGACGATGTAGCTGACACCTTTAAAACTAGATGAGCAAATAAAACTATTGCAATTTCATGGAGACTTTAATATCGACTTAAGGTTCTAGACCAAACATACAATGCGGTCACCGAAATGAGCAAAACTGCTAGAATACTTTGTTTGATGGCAATATATATATTCAAGAGAGTTTAAAAAGCAAAAGGACTATTACGACAAACTGAAAGGAAGCCTCTGTTTTAAGTAGATCAACACTTTTTTTTATTCCTTCACGTTCCCAGTGGAACATAAGTCTTCAATCAAGCTAGAGCTACGAAGTTTCTGTAGAAGTGGTGTTTATTTTTACGGGATGAAGTTGCTAGCCTCATGCCCAACCTTCCCTATTTACCAGTCTTATTACTGGCTTAGCGAGGTGAAGAAGTGGTGTCGGCTGGCGATGGAACCCCGAACCACCTGCATGGTTGGTGAGCATTCTACCGCTATGCCACCGACGCACCTGATCACCACTAAATATATTCAATAATCGATAAAACAAACAGCTTATTCCTCAGACAGGATAGTAACACAGAAGGCAATACATTATGCTTAGTATATTCTCACCATCTGCATACTCGATAACCTAAGCTTAGAGAGCATTCCTCAAATGCTCACCGAGACTCCTACCTATCAGCTAATAGACTTCTTTGTCCATAACTATCTTGGTTGTTGTTTATAAACACAAATAAACAGAGAGAGAGAGAGAAAAACACTCACTGAGCGTGGTTTCACGAATACTTCATGACTAAACTGAGTAATTTTCCGTCCATTTAATCCACCTGTAAAAATTGTAGCTTGTGGATCCAATCCTGGAGGTGTATGCACGCCATAAACAACAATTTGATAACCTTTGCCTGGTTCTAAAGCCTGTAATTTGTGTTCCTAAGCAAGTGAAAAATAAACAAACAATACAACAAGCGAATATTACTAGTCTATAAAAAGAAATGAAATAATAAGAAATGATTATATGCTTAGATCAGACTTTACTCAGTTATGCTTAAGGTGAAGACAAGACAATAAAGTATTAATTATTATGGTGGATTTTTGGATGACTGACTTTCAGCTGCTGTACTATTCTCATTGATATTCAAGTATTGGTTTGTAGGGATTTGGTTGATTGGTTACAGGATTTCATCATGAGCTAACATCGGTTAGAGAACCATTGGAAAACCAGCTGGGAGTACTGGACAGCTGTTTCGTCCTAGTTTAGGACTCTTCATCAGTATGCAGCCACCACACGGGGTTTGAACCCAGGAACTTCTGGTTACAAGACCAGCTAGCTCGTAGACCATTAAGCCAATGGGACCCGATCCAATAGCCAGCTCATGAATTCTAACTTCTGCCAATTCACGATATAGCGCGACCGCTAGCCAATGTCTTCGGTGAGTATTTGTCCACACACCCGACCTGCTGCACCCTACTGGTCACGACTTCCCACTGGAACATCAGGTAACTACCTATCTGAATAGGGCAAGTTGCCAGTGAGCATCTCATCGATGTTCAAGTATTGGTTTGTAGGGATTTGGTTGATTGGTTACAGGATTTCATCATGAGCTGACATTGGTTTGAATTGAATTCCATTTAAGTGATGAGCATGGATTACAGACTAACAGGATTAATCAGCATAATAGTAAACAACTCAAACAGATCAGGATCACAGGATTTGGTTACTTGACTATAAATACTTCTACATATTATTATCAAATAGACGCATAAGTAGTCAATAAAGTCTTTTCAATAGATGGAAGTCGAGGACCTAGGCTCTGTGCTTGTTAGCACTCGTCAGCAAGGCATATCTTCAACCTTGAAGGAACTGATATACCCTCTGAAATACAAACCCAACGTCATCCACTGTTGTCTTTTTGTTTTCAAACGAATCTGTATACTTACTCTAGCATCAGCCCCGTCAACAAACACAGCTTTAAATCCATTGTAGGTAATTCTTCCATTATTAGAACGTTCTTCTGGACGATATAGTAAAAGGAAATGATCAATTGGGAAACCAACAGCTGATTGAGTTAATCTCCATCGTGCCAATATGCCACCATCGGACTGGAAAAAAAAAGTAAATTCTATCAAGGTATTCTTATATATTTGATTAAACATCAAATCATCGATAGTTTAAAGGGACCATAATACTAATGATCAATAACCGGAAATCAAAGAGGAGATCACCGATTTTTCTTCAGTGATATAAGAACAATCAACTTCCGAAATAACAGAGGTTTATAGCTCATATGGATGATTTTGACGCGGTCACGTTCTCCGAGCTAAGGGTGGTTAAATTACGAAGCTCTAATTGTCCCTCTAGACAACCTGTTTAGCACAAACTTCAGTAACTTATTTGGATTCTCCATGAACGACAAAATTGTATCTCCCGACATTGTCATAATACAAAAATAGGCGTCGAGTGCTAAGTAAGGAGGGGAAATCAATCGAAGAGGTTGTGAAGTTACATCGATTGAGATGGTTAGGACATGTGTTACACATGCATGTCTAGCCATCGCATCCCTCCACGGTGATTTCTTAGCTGACATAGGATAGATCAGGTTGGAAAAGAGTTAGCTAGTGGTGGTCAAACCAAAACATGGCTTCATCAGTCAACGAAATCCACAACAGTTAGTTTAAGCCAGCCAGTCACGTAGGGAGGTGTAGACTGGCTTCCTGGTTGGTGTCTTCGGGATAGTAAAAACCAATGAAGACTGGATACAATTGGTGATATAGATCGAAATCGTTCTCAATGGCTGGTGCAGATGCATTCACTCTTTGTGACTTATAATATCTAATAAAATTTTATTGTTCCTCCATATTACTGTTCTTTTTCCCTCACTCACACTTCTGTGTATTATCTCTCTCTTTTGAATCTGTCTCTACTCTCTTCTCTTACTTTGTGTGCTACATGAGTGGAGTGTGGCAACTGGAACTGTTACACATCTGTGCAAAGTTCTACGTTGAAACCAGTCAGTCATAATACAAAACAGGTTTTAATTTTTCCGGAAAATTATATAATCGTCGAATAATAAAGTTCAATGGTTGGTATTCTTTTAAAGCCAGTAAATTTGTAACACATCAGAAATATTCTTTCATTCTTAAATAATTCACCTATTACCACAGTCACATTAGAATTTGTCTTCCCTAAGTTGCCTCTTCTATGGTTCCCAGGCAAAGAAGTAATGATAATAACAGTAATACAGTTGCTTTGGAAACCTTAAGACCGTAAATTTCTTTAAGAAGATTGTGAGGGGACTGAACACTGCTAAAGAGTTAAAAACCCTAGTGGAACAGCTGATAAGATCCATTTCTGTATTGGTAGCAATATTTTACTCAATCAGTCATGAAATGGAGATGGACTGGACACATGCCGGCGAGACCGCGCCAGGCCATCACTCGGGTGGAACTCAAATAGGAAACGACGAGTTGAGCATGAGTCTGAGGGTCAAATATTGAAGACTGTGTGAGGAGGAGGTGTGAGCTTATGAGAACTTGTGGAGCTAGCTAAAAAGTAATGCAAGGAACAGGATGAAATGGAAATGTGCTGCTGTAGCCTCCTATGTTCCACTCGGAACCCAAGGACGCAATAATAATAATAATAATAATCTTGAGAAAAAAGTTTTGAAATAACACAAAAGTGGAAACAAAACAACCTACCAAGCGTTCAGTTTCTGTTATAACTGGAGCAACTTTTGAGATATGCTGAAAACTGACTGGATCAGACCATGGACTTTTATCAACTATCTCATCATTATCCTGCTTAATGGCATGTATTCGAAACTGATAACTTTTTCCTGGTACAAGTTCACCTGGATGACGGCTGGTTAGATAGAAATGTTTATTTTCTAAACAACACGTTTTATCATGGCTACAGCATTCTTTCACCTACAAAATTAATTGATAAATAAATACAAATTATGTTTGTTATTTAAGTAGTACAAATAGGTAGGGGGGAAAATGTCTCAAAAAGGAATTTTACTTTTAATGATTTAATGCAGTTATAAGCAGATGTAATGCATAAAGAAAACTTCAAAGGGTTAGGGTACAGTATAGCATTTTGAAGAAATATATCCAGGGCCAATCACCATCAACGGGAGGGATTTGAAAGAGGTTACTTCTTTCACTTATCTAGGGAGCATTGTCTCAACTACAGGAGGAACGGACGAGGATGTCAAATCGAGAATCGGGAAGGCAAGAAACACATTCATCAACCTGAAACCAATCTGGAAATCTTCGTCACTCAGCCTGCATCAACAACAAAATTCGGATTTCCAATACAAACGTCAAGTCAGTTCTTCTATACGGATCAGAAACTTGGCGGGTCACAAAGAATATTTCCAACAGGTTGCAGACCTTTATCAACAGTTGTCTTCGTTCTATACTGAAGATCAGATAGCCAGAAAGAATCACCAACAAGAAACTATGGGAGCAAACAAAACAAGAACCAATCGCTCAACAAATATGCAGGAGAAAGTGGAGATGGATTGGACACTCGCTGAGGAGGCCGCTGGATGACATCGTGCGTCAGGCCAACGCTCGAGTGGAACCCGAAAGGGAAGCGGCAAGTGGGACGTCCAAGAGTGATATGGAGGAGATCGTGTGAAGAGGAGGTGAAACAGTATGGACTAACATGGATGCAGGTGAAAAGTACAGCAGAAGACAGAAGCAAGTGGAGGCGTGCAGCTGAAGCCCTATGTTCCACTAGGAACCCAAGGGAACAATGATAATAATGATCTAAGAGAAATGAGGTTTATGTACATATATCAGGATGCATAGAATATTGATCACTTCTATGTGCCTGTATAAATTCACCTATTCCTGTGGAGCCTGATATATCGGTTGTTCGACGCGTTTATGCTGTCTGAAAGGGTCCAAGAATACTATCCTTCATGTTTACAGAAAGATAGAAGTGACTCTATAAGGAGTGCGATAACTGAAGACCCTGTCAACACCCGTCATTCTACCTCAACAAACTCCTTCTGCAGAGTAATCTACAAAGTGAAGAGCAGCCTCCCAAAGACAATACGCTTTCGTTTCCTCCAGTCATCCAGATAATAGAGCCGGAGGTCTTGCATACAGAAGAAAACTATTCAACCACTTCTACTATCCTGGTAACTACCTACTTCTACTACCTCGACTTTTGTTTTTTAGCTGTTTACAACTCTTGTATTTCTTACAATCTTCTACATAATTTCACATATTCCTTCGTTTCTATGTGCATCCTGATAACAACTCATTCATTAAATTATTCACCTTATTATGTAACTCTAATACACTTATTCAACTCCTCTTATTTATTGATTGATACTATCCTTACTATCCTTTTTCGTGAAAAAATTTATATACATGAGATTGTACAGCTAAAGAAAATGAATTCGCTGCAAAGGTCCTCTTTCCTAAACCACTCATCACTTTGTTATTTTCATTAATACTTAGAATAAACTCTTATACTTCTCACTTACACCAGAAAAAGACGATACAAAGAAAATTAGAAAAAAAGCTAGCTTGATTTAAAAAAATGCATAATGAAAATCTGACTATTAATTTTTTGATTGTTTGGAGGATTTCATCATTAGCTGACATCAGTTAAAGAACCATTGGAGAACCTGGGGGAGTACTGGACAGCTACTTCGTCCTAGTTTTGGACTCTTCATCAGGCTCATGATGAAATCGTCCAACCAACCAATCAAACAAACAAAGTCCCTATAAAAACCAATAATTGAAAATTGATCTGATGGTCACCATCGACTGGCCCTATTCATCAGGCAGTTATCTCGGGTTCTAGTGGGAAGTTGTGACCACCAGTAGGGTACAACAGCAGGTTGAAGGTGAGGCAGTAATTCATCAAAAAAGACCTTGCGAAGTGGTTGAGCTATATCATGAATTGGCAGAAGTTAGAATCCATGATCTGGCTACTGGCAGGGTTCTAGTGGCTTAATGGTATACAAGCTAGCTGGCCTTGTAACCAGAATGTCCTGGGTTTGAACCCTACAGTGTGGGAGCGTACTAACGAAGAATCCCAAAGAGCTAGGACGATAAGGCTAGCTGTTCAGTACTCTCTTCAGGTTTTCCAATGGTCAGCTCATGATGAAATCCTTCAACTAATCAAACAAAATCCCTACAAAAATAATACTTGAAAATATTCTTTTTTCCACAATAATATAAGGATTTTTCATGATTAGATCAGAGTAAAACACAAGAGAGACACGAGGGCGGAGGTAGTATGAATGAATGAGTAATTGAAGCTTCAGTTACACTTAAAACAGACACCCCCTACTCAAAAATTGTAGAAAAATAAAGTCTCTTTTATTTTATTTAGAAGAAATTCTTGCAAATCCTTCCGTGTAGATATTATAAATATACTTTTTAAGTAACACACAAAAGGAAAAGTATCAAAGATTGTTATTATTATCATTATTTTTTGTTTAAGGATAGGCGAACTAACTACGTGCGTCATTCAAAATTTATTCCACTTTTTCTAAAGCAAAAACAAAATAAATAAATAATTCATAAAATTTATTTCGGGAAGATGAGAAAGAAGGGTAAATAGCACACCACGATGAGAATATTGCAATGAACTTCTAATAAACCAGATAAAAAGCACCAACTGAATTCAACTGTATTCTTAGAAATAAAAAAGTAATTGTTATTGTGTACCTACAATATACAATGTGATTACTAGGACCAGCGCACCTACATACCGAAAACGTAAAGGAAAAACCAGCGGAACATAGTAAAGACACTCTAAACTACTAAAGTGTTGAATAACATACACTTCAAAGACTATTCTCACAACTGAAGTACATATTATGAAAAAAGGAAAGGAAACAAAAATAATTTTATGATTTTAGACTAATTCAAAAAGTATCTTCATTACCGCCATATTTACAGATACTTCTTTGAGAGAGGGAGAGAGAGAGAGAGAGAGTAAAGCAATCCTTAACAGTAAGTATTATTTACCGTCACAATTATTTTAAATTCAACAGCAACACAGAGTTGTCAGTCAAGTTGTTGGACTCATAGAGAAGATTCAGGAAGTACTTCCTGAAGTACTTCAGACGACTACTCTGAATATCGTTATTTTGTAATAAGCGCGTGTAGCAATTACAATTTGGCGTTTTCTTCACGGAAAAATTTGAAATTGCCACCAATGAAGCAAGTGCAAATGCATAGACATATTTTCTTTTTTAACTTAATTCATAAAAGTTAATTGAAGACATAATTGTATTTCGACTGGCTGGAAAACAAAGTTGTATTTTAATGCTACATACCAATTTAGGGATCATAAAAATTTTATGATCAACTTTGTAACTGAAAACAGATGAATGGGTTAATCAGTTAATTTATCTTCGGATACACACATACCATTTTAGAGAATTTCGATGTAGACCTTTACCTAGTTTTCAGTTTGTCGCCTTTTAGTTGTCCATGTAAAAACTGTACAGTATAATAACATCAAAAGATGTTTCTCATTATTAAGAACGACTGTGAAAAACAATTGGGAAGTTGTCAGTTAGTATTCCTGTGCTTTTTTGAGTAATAATAAAGAGAGAGAGAAGGGTTATTGTCCACAAGCATTAAACAGTGCGATTGCACGTCATCTATTAGACACTGGCCATATTGTAGACAACCCGAAGTCGTTCAAAATAGTCAACAAGCAAAAGAAACCTAGCTTGCTACGCTTTGCTGAAGCAATTGCTATCAAAAGACTTAAACCAAATCTATGTATGCAAAAAGAGACAGTGTTAAACCTTGCACTGCCCTGGTGATAACAAAAAATATACAACTTTTGTGAGTTACCCTTTTTCTTGTTTAGAAACCTCTACTCTCTCATCTAAACATGACTCACCCTACCTTGTTCTTTTCTCTTCTTTTTTTTCTATTGGCTATTAGATAAAACATTTTCTTTAGTTACGTAATCTACTTTTTGTTATCCTCTTTCTAGCTAAACCTTGTTTCTATACACACATATATACGTAACTCTGTTTTTGTTTCCAAGCCTAATTGTCTAATTATTCTATAAGCAGTCAGTGTTTGTAACTCTTAATTAGTTAAATCATTTCGAACTAATGTTACTTTTACTTCCTACCAATTACTCCTTGTGATCGTGGAAAAGTATGTTCAAATCTTTAATGTAATTCATATTTTTTATCGTTCAGGTTGTAACCAGTTGAGAAGAATCCTCGAAATAATAAGAGGTGAGCTCATATTATGCTGATACAATTGCTGTTCTTGCTTTGTTCAAATAAAGAGATACTTGGTTACAGGATTTCATCATGAGCTGACATCAAATCCCTACAAACTGATACTTGAATATCAATGAGATGCTCACTAGCGACTGGCCCTATTCAGGTAGGTAGTTCTATTGGGGTTCTAGTGGGAAGTCGTGACTAGTAGAGTGCAGCAAGTCGGGTGCGAAGACAAATACTCGACGAAGACATTGTCTAACGATCACGCTATGTCGTGAACTAGCAGAAGTTAGAATTCATGAACTGGCCATTGGGTCGGGTCCCAGTGGCTTAATGGTCGTCTCGCCTTGTAACCATAAGGTCCTGGGTTCGAACCCCGTAGTGTGGGTGCGTACTGTTAAAGAGTCCCAAACGAGGACGGAAAAGCTGTCCAGTACTCCCAGCTGGTTTTCTAATGGTTCTCAGCTCATGATGAAATCCTGTAACCAATCAATCAAATCCCTACAAACCAATACTTGAAAAAGATACTTGTCATATCTAAACAACAACAAGCCCAAATCGCTATTAATGGGAGAAATCTAAGCCATTTCACACCTTTCACATATCTAGGCAGCGTCGTTTCAACTACTAGCAGCACAGATGAGACTATCAGAGCTGACCACAATCGGAAAAGCATGACACACCTTCATTGCTCTGAAATCAGTATGGAAATCTCCTGCACTCAGCATAAGGAACACTATTCAGATCTTTAACATCAATGTCATCAACTCAGTGCTATAAAATTCAGAGAATTGACGCGTCGTAAAAAGTATTTCCAACTGCCTACACTCCATATTGAAAATCAGAAGACTGGTCAACAAGGAGTAATAATAAGGAACTCTGGCACTCAGCGAATCAACCAAGAACGTATCTTCCAACAAATATACAGGAAGAAATGGAGATGGAATGAACATACGCTAAGGAGAACTTTGAGTAAAATCATGCGCCAGGCCATTGTTCAAGTGAAACCCGAATGGGAAATTCCCAGTTAGGCGTCAGAGGTTGACACGAAGAAGGTCGTGTGAGGAGAAGGTGAAAGTTTATGTGCAGCCGGCAAATAAAGACTGCAGAGAAGAGAGTTAAATGACGATATACTGCTGAAGCTCTATGTTCAACTCAGAACCTAAGGCAATAATAATGACAATAATAGTAATAATATTTACTTCAAAACCCAAGAAGAGTCTAATGGTAATAAAGCTCTTTATTATACATATGTCCAGCAGGCATGTTATCTAGCCTTCTAGATGATTAGTCACAATGACAATATATCTTGCAGAGGAGTATTCAATCGCTACTCGATAAGCTGCATATTTATTCAGTTAGCTGATGCACGAGTGAGATAATATATATATAACAAAATTAAGAAACCAAACAAAATAAAACATGGTATGTTTCCATTAAGCTGCTCGCTAATTTCGACAGCAACAAAATAATATTTATATTGCAGTGTATCATGTGTGTTAGTTAGCATGAAATCCAATGACAAGTTATGTTTATTTAGTTATAATAACAGAGAAGGAATATGAGTAAAAACAACATATATGCTTGCTAGTTTTGCCCTGTTACTTACAATTTCATTCTACAGACGATAAGTTGAAAGGAAAATAAATTCTATTAATAATAATAATTATTATTATTATTATGACAAGCTATGCACACAGAAAGCAAACATAGTAGTGGTATTAGTAAAAATAAAAAAAGCAAAATTATTAATCTTGTAGATATTGTTTTGATAAAGTATAGAGAAGCATAATCTTGACAATCATCCATTTATAATGTATGCTGTAAGGGTGGAGGAAATGAAATAATATAGAGTGAATATATTACTGTTATTACTTAGATCAATAACATGTCATTATCATAGAGCACAACCATGCTTTTAAGTTTCTGTAGTGATTGGATAGATTTTCTCCGATAAGGTCACTAGCTCCACACCCAACCTCCCTTTTTTCCAAGTTTGGAAACCAGGGAGTACTGGACAATTGTTTCATCCTAGTCTGGGAGTTTTCAGCAGTAGGAGCCATGACTCCCCCAGAGATTGAACCTAGGACCTTCAGGTTACGAGGCCAGCCTCGTTGACTATTCAGCCACTTCTTGGACAGGATCTAATGGCCCATGAATTCTAACTCCTACCAATTTGCGGAATATGGCGTAACCGCCAGCCAATGTAGTTTTCAAGGCTTAGGACCACCTAGTAAACTACTGAACTAGTATAAATAATAATAAACACAACGCAACTACCATGTTGTAAGATTATCCAGACAGTTAATTCCCTCCACAAGCTGTTGAGGGCATAAGAACTAATTATCGTTATCTTTATTATTTTGAAATGTGTTAGTAAGACGTTGGACTCTGGTATTGGTGTAGTTGTGTTCTTTGAGCTGGATACTTTAATTGAGAAACTCTCGTTATCTTTTTAGACGTGTTCACTGTTGACTTGTCCATAAAGTAGGACTGTGTTATTCCACATCATATAGTAGAGCATATAAAAATGACGTCCTACGAATACTTCCACTCTCCACTTTGCATATTTAGCTTTAACATTCAAGTCATTGTTAGTGTAACATTTTATATTTTTTGCTACTCGAAGATTCCAGAAATTACGGAATAACTAACACTAGTGCATATTCTTAAGTTCATTCCGAAGAAATACATTACACTTATCGCCTTCGCTCCATACTGAAGAAGAAAGAATTAGCACCAAGAAACAGTAGGAACAAACCAACAAAGAGCCAATCGCTCAACAAATATGTAGGAGAAAATGGAGATGGATCGGACATACATTGAGGAGGCCAGCGAATAACATCGCACGCCAGGTTCTCGAGTGGAATCCAAATAGGAAGCGACGAGTGGGTAGTGAGTGTGAGGGTGACATGGAGGAGATCGTGTGAGGAAGAGATGAGAGAGTTTGATCAATCATGAACCTAGCTGAAGAGGGTAGCAGAAAATAGGACAAACTGGAGATGTGTTGTTGAAGCCCTATGTTCCACTCGGAACCCAAGGGAACAATAATCATAATCGTTACTAAGATCATTTCACACTACACTGAAAAAAGGATATCACGAAATCATTAAATATTCATTAATGAGAGATGAGACTACAACGCAGTAACAGTAAGATGTGTAACTGACAACCGAGTAACACGAATTCCAAGTTCTAAAAAGACATAAGTCCCTTTCAGATTACAGATAAATCTAACAAACACAAAACCTAGGCAGTGATATCTATGGACTAAAATCAATTAAAAGTTCACCAGGATGATGAATCTCACAGATTGATAGTTATACTGCAAATATGATTGGTCGAATTCAGTAAATACTCTAGATTAAAATTAAAAACAGGTCAAAATTTAGGATTCAGTAAGCATTACTCAGTTTTCAGATAAGGTAACGATGACACAAATTTCCCTGACGACTATGTGCTTCATTTAACAATAGTGAAATGAAAAGGAACGTGCTTTTGTGGTTCATTGGTCTAGGGAGAAAAACGTTTTGCGACAGTAATATAAGAGGTAATTTATTAGTCATAAGAAAGCAATGAATACTGAAATCCATATAATATAAACTTATCTACTATGTAATCAAGTAAATACTATCACAGTGACCGAATTCTACGCCTTTGTTAACTTTGAAATCGTTCAATCTTATAATTGATTTCATACTAACAACACAGAAAACAGGATTTGGATAGATTTATAAAAAAACTTCGGCAATTACTTTGTACCAATTAATCAGGAGTCTTAAAAGACAATCAAAAGTAATGATTAACAGAAAACGGGTGACATATCCCAGAATCGATCCCAGTAGACCAAATACTTTATACATTTAACACCTTAAAAGGAAGGATGGCATGGATGCTCCACAAAAACTGTTGAGAAACAGATTTACAAAACAGTGCCAACATTAAAAGCAGGTCGTTAATGAAACGATATCCCCTAACTCTTCACTTATGTGTATAACACTCGTTGCAAACAGAAAAATTTCGATTCAGAGATGCTGATAGCTACTCAAAAGAAAACTAGATGCTAGTACCAAAAGAAATTTTCATTAAAAAGGCAAATAGACAGGACAACGCGTACATTGTCATAGCTGTGTCCCTCCCATGTACAAAAGAAATTGAATAAGGACTCTCAGCTACAGGGAGTCAGAGTTATTTGTTCAGAAGATGTAAGTGAAGATGAACTTAAGGTTGTATATGACAATGTTGAATGAAAATAGCTACTCTGAAAGGTGTTCATTATGAAACACATGGCTAAGAAAGTAGAAAAGAACTGTTCTGCATCTGCTAACAAGAAGCCTCAATATATAGCTACCTCTTCTTGTATCTTCCATTTCAACTGCTCCTGTGGAGCCAGTTATATTGGCCGTTGATCTAAGAACTTAGTTTTTCGTGCTCGGGAACACTTACCAGTGTGGCTATATAAAAGTGAAGTAAAAACCACTATTAGTTCAATTAGTTCGAGACCATCTGGTCCAGGCGGGTCATAAAGCATTGAAAAATCTTTTTCTATCATCTATACGGGGTACCAAATAATTTGCCAAAAGCTTCTAGATACTGGATACTCTTAACACCAGAGGCCACTGTAATTCGCTTAAAACAACTGGAGCTCTGCTGTGGAACCTATAAATCCACAAACTGTGTATTATTTTTCCTTACTTATCTGATATTCACTTTCGTGTTATGTTGATTCATATTATGGTATAAATATGTTTTGAACTGTAATCTAGTTATACTACTGATTCGATGATATTTAAAAACATTCATGTTGTCAATAACAATAATCCTTTAATTATTATAGACATATAGATTGTAGAATCTGATGAAGAAGTAGTTATCGAAGAAAAATATTTACTTTGTTCACTATTCACTCTTTTAAAATCAGAAATTAACCAAAATGAAAAATAAAATTTTAATTATAATTATAATAACTGACTGTTTCATCAATAGTTGACCGATGTATCCAACCATCCGATTCTGGAATACGTGATCTGTGAAGAATACGATAAAAATCACAGTTGACTGAATTCCAACTAATCAGTACAGCTAAGTTGTCTCCAACAGTTGTAGCATTCGGTTTTCTTAACCGATCATCTATTAAAAAAGGACAGATTTCAAAAGAAAAATTACAGAAATAAGAATTTAGTAGAGTTAACAAGCTTAGAAAATAGAAAATTCTACTTGAATTTATAACAATAAATAATTGAAACAGCTTTGTCTATTGATAAACTTAAATAAAGCGTTGAGAAGACAAATACTGCGAATTGATGTCATCATTTTATAGATTCAGTACAGTAGTCGCATTACAACTGGCATGGTATATATAAAAAATAAAATGTTAGATAATTATTCAGTTAGATAAGATATTTCAGAAGTTGTATCAGCCCCAGTGGACGGATTGTCGACGAAATCTTAGGACGGATATAAAAGGCCCGAGTGGTATTTGAAAAATCACGTCATCTCTCGAGAGACGTGATACTCGGCTAGCGAACAAAGGATGCATTTACTGCACACCAGTTCACCCTGTTTTAATTCATGGGTTTTAAGATATGGGGACTACCAACGTTTGACCGCAGATGCTTGACTTCTATCCCCCACGTCAAGTGGTATGATATAGTGAGTAATAGTGAGATTAGGCGTAGAGTGCTAGATAAGGAGGGTGAGTCAGTCAGTTGATGAGGTTATAAAGCTACACTGGTTGATATGACTACAGAAAGTGCCTAGCCATCGCATTTCCTGACTAGTAGTATTGCTTGACATATGATCAAGTTAGTAAATAGTTAGAAGTGGTCAAATCAAAATCTGGTACCAATCCATGAAGACTATCTGTTGGCATGAGCCATGTAGGGAGGTTTACACTGCCTGGTTCGGATCCTCGGGATGCTAAGAACTAACAACGACCTCAGACTTTTAGTGATATGGCTCATAGTCGTTTTCAATGGATCACATGCATTCACTCTTTGTTATCACCCATATGCATTAATCCCTCATCTTTTCCCATATTATTATCCTTTCTCGCGTACATTTCCGCTCACTATAATTCTTTCGAATTTTTCTCTTTTCTCCACATGGAGTATGGCAGCTTGAACTTGTATATCTCTGTGCAAAGTTCTACACTGAAACTCAGTCAACCAGTATATAAAATAAAGGCGCATATTCATAACCAATCGTGTTTCAAGAGGTCATAGGCCATTGAGTCGGGTTCCAGTGGCTGAAAGGTATGCAAGCTTGCCTTGCGACTGGAAGGTCGTGGGTTCGAAACTCACAGTGTGGGTACGTACTGCCGATGATTCCGAAATAGGATAAAACAACTGTCCAGTATTCCTTGGTTTTCAATGATTCTCTAACTGATATTACTTCGCAGTGGGTAAAGTTTGAAGTCTATTGTTTACTGTATACATAGTTTGGGATGCATGTGATTAATCCAAAGTGCTTCCATCACTTTTAACAACTTTAAATTAAAGTCATGTGAAACAATAATTAACGATAAATAAGTATTTTATCTCCTATAGGTACCAAATATGATCAGTTGACCTCATTTGAATATGGACAATAGACCGCTATTTATCTAGAATAACCCGATGGTGGCCGGTTCAAATCTTCCTGTCATCCAAGTCTTTAAACGTCATCCTGTCACATACACCATAAAGTTCATATTTATTCTTCTAATGTCTACAAGTTTGTGCACCAATAAGCTACAGATCCAATTGCAAGCACTATAATTTACGAAAACCCATATATAATTTAGCCATAGAGAATATATATTATCAGAACCACCTATCTTTTAGAAAGCCACATAAAGTACAACTAACTTTCGATGACTAATATTCAGAATTTATCGTTAGAAAGATTTAGATTTTTGTAAACCGTAATTCTATACAACTTAATATATACTGGTAACATTAATGAGTGTATTACTTACACGTATTTCTTGCAGAAGATAAATTCAAGATATCCAAGGAAGTGATTTGTCCAGAATTCAAAGGCCATTCATTAATTCTATGCGATTGACTACGACGTACACGATGTAATGGAATTACTGGTGTTTGGTCAATATTCAGTATATTATCTTGAAGTGAAGATTTTTCCAGTAATCTCTTCGACGAATTCACAAATCCATCATTGAACTGGTTAAATTGCCTAGAACTATCTACAAGGGAACATGTAATGAGAAAATCAAAACGACTGTTTATTTAGGCTATAAAATTGTAAAACAGTTACATTTCCATAACAATGTATCACATATTCACGAATTTCACATACAGATATACATAAGTGAGGAAAAATTTCTCATAACCTGTAATCACTGAATTCCAAAAAAAACATTGATTAAAAAAGCTTCCTGAAAGTATACACAATATGTTCAACATTGAGGTGTAAATGCGAATAGAATTCAGGGGAATATGATAGTTTATAATTCCATTGCAGAACAATTTTATGTGATAAAAAAGAAGAGAAATATAGTATTTTATTTACTGGGTCGTCCGAGGTTGACATGGAGGAGATGAGAGATTATGGGCAGTCGTGGGACTAGCCAGTTGAAGAAGACAGCAGAAAATAGAACAAATAAGGGAGATGTGTTGTTGAAGCCCGATGTTCCACTCGGAACCCAAGGGAATAATAATAATACCGGTGACGTTTCGGGCATAATTTATTGCTCGTAACTACATCAAGGCACTTATATTTCTTTTAAAATTTGTCTATATAATTCCACTATTTCTTATCCTTTGATTTCATTGGTAGTAGTATTTTCCACATCTCAGGGATCGACATTTTTATCAACAGCTGACTTCGCTCTATACTGAAGATCAGATGGTCGGAAAGAACCACCAACAAGAAACTATGGGAACAAACAAGACAAGAACCAATCGCCCAACAAATATGCAGGAGAAAGTGGAGATGGATTGGACACTCACTGAGGAGGCCGCTGGATGACATCGCGCGTCACGCCAACGCTCGAGTGGAACCCTAAAGGGAAGTGGCGAGTGGGACGTCAGTACAAGGGTGACATGGAGGAGATCGTGTGAAGAGGAGCTGAAACAGTATGGACTAACATGGATGCAAGTTAAAAGTACAGCAGAAGACAGAAGCAAGTGGAGACGTGTAGTTGAAGCCCTATGTTCCACTAGGAACCTAAGGGAACAATAATAATAATAATACAGGGATCGACATTGCGTCATACCTATTGCACGCGTTAAGAGTAGATTCGATTACTCAAAGATTTAGTGATCAACCTCTCCACCTATCTCTATATTACTTTTTAGAAGCGGAGATCTGTTCCATCTTGTTAGGTGACTGTATGTTAGTCCACACATTGCGATTCTCTAACCTATTCATCTTCCAGAGGCCAAGAAATAACACTATATCACTGTATGTTTTTATCAAATAGAATTATTCTATAATGTAACTGGGTTGCATAGCGTGATACAGTTGACTGTTGAATCATTAATGAGATCAAAATCTGTAAACACTAAGGAAAGACACAGAATCATTTGATGATATAAGAGCTCATGTGCATTTTCAGTTTAAGGTTAAAACACCACAACAATAAGAAGTACACGACATTCAAATGTTTGAATAAATTATCAAGTGATATCCACTGAGCAAGAGGTGGTTCGCGTAGCCGCTCAGTAACTTGGGGGATAACACTTTGGCATTTGACACGACGACGAGTAAGGCGTTTAACTTTCACTCAGTAGGATATAGGTATATCCAGTTGTCGAGTTTAAAACAGGACGATAGGTCCATCCTTCAAGATAACAACAAACAAATAACATTAATAGGCAGTACGAAAGCTCAGTCATAGTAGTTTATCGATTTCAGATATTCTGTGAAATAGATCATAAAATATAGTCTAGAAAAGGTCAACAGAATATCATGAATACTTCTCCTCTGCAACAGAAAGGACCTTAAATGACCACAGAAAAGATAGAGTTGATGAAGGCAACTAAGCAACAACAAGTATCTAGAGGAAGTCACTTCTTTCGCTTATCTAAACAGATGTGTTAACTACAGGCAGCGACATAGATGAGGATGTAAAAGCTGACCACGATCGAAGAACCAAGACAGAACTGCATCAATCTGAAATCACTGTGGAAATCTACTGCACTCAGATCCTGATCTTCAATACTAATGTCAAGTCAGTGCTTCTATATGACTCCGAGACTCGGCGCGTCACCATAAGTATTTCCAAAAACCTGCCGCAGACTTTCATTAACAACTACCCACCCTCTACACTGAAGACCAGATATGGCTTGACGGAAAGGATAAGCAATAAGAAACTCTAGCAACAAACCAACCAACAGCCTATCGCCCAACAAATATGCTGAAAGAAATGAAGATGGATTGGCCATACACTGAGCAGATTGTTGAACGACATCATGAGCCAGGCCCATTGCTCAAGTGAAAACCAAATGGCAAACCATTAGTTGTGCCTGGGATCTAAGGGTGACATGATGCATATCGTGTAAGGAGGAGATGAAACCTTATGGGCAGTCGTGGAACCAGTAAACAAAAAACTGTTCCACTCGGAACCCCCAAAAGGAATAATAATAATAATAAAGTGATCACCCACTGAATATGATCTAAGCACAAATCTTTTCTGTGAGAAAGTGATATGCTTATCAAAAATTAAACTAGACAATTTCATAAGGGTACCAATTAACATGCGTATAGAACAAATCCGACAAAGTCTCGAAAATATTTCTGAGCAATTTAGGCATTGAAGGAAATTGCAAACATATTAAAACAATGAAGTCGCTGTTTTCCGATCCATTACTACTACTGAGGTGCACTTTTAATGTCCAGTTCAAGTTCAACAACACGCTTTATAGACAAAGAGATAGAGTGGCAATCGGGTCGCCATTGGGTCCTTTACTTCCAGACTACTTCTTGGCAAGTCTAAAGAATAATATGTTACGACCCACTATCGATAGTTTCTGTATAAACCTGGCTGGTTGGATTCAACATAGAACTTGGCACCGAAGTGCAGCACTTTGAGTTGCCACGTTCCAAAGAGCACACAAAGGTAGACAAGAAAATGAGTGAAGAGAATCAATAGAGTTTTGACAAGTATAAGAATGAAACAGAATGAGTAATGGTAGAAAGCAATATGAAAGATTACAGAGACTGGATACATCTGCGTATGCCATCAACAACGATTTTGAGCCATGTCACCTATTGCATCCAGCCATTGATTCTTAGACTCCCGAGGGCCCCAACCCGGAAGTCTCCTTCTCCCTACCTGACTCAGTTTAACTGTCAAGGATTTCATGGATTGATAAAGCCATGTTTTTGTTTGGCCACCTCTTACTCTTTTCCAACCTTCACCTATATCAGCTAGTAATGCCCGTCCGTTGGGGGAGGCGATGGTTAGGCATGCGCAGCACGTGACCTAGCCATCTCAATCTATGTAACTTTATAGCCTCGTCGATTGATTTTCCCTCTTTGCCCAACACTCTACGCCTAACGTCAACATTACTTACCTTATTACACCACCTAACGTGAGAAAGAAATCATAGACATCTATGATCAAAAACAGTCAGTCTTTTCATGTGTTCAACTCGTATTGGCCATGTTTCAGAGCCATAGAGAAGGACGGAGCGAACTGCTGAGCAGTACACACGTCCCTTGGTTGATAGCCGGATGTCACGCCTACGCCAGAGACGGTGTAAGTTAGTGAAAGCAGCTCGAGCTTTTTGGATCCGTGCTGAGATTTCGTCGCCAATCAATCCGTTGGTGCTGATACAACTTCCCAAATAGATGAAGTGATCAACATGTTCTATCACTTCACTCCCTATCACTAAGCTAGGAGTTGACGTAGTCCAGTGCTGTAGCAGCGTCTTACATTTTACAGGGGCGAATCACATGCCAAACATACGAAAAAAATACTTTATTAATTTTTCCGTCAATGTTACTATTACATTATGCAGATAGAAGTTCATGAGATGTGTTCATAGCCTTGTAAATGAATGACACAGTTGTAACACTTCTGTGCATTGAAATCATTCGATGAAAGTGACTAGCTACACATCATAAATCAGTTCATTTTTTACATGGAACGTTATGCAGTACAACACATTAGCTATCATTTTATAAAGCACATAAACGACGTGAGAAATATACACTCATCATTGTTTAAATGTTTATTCAAATTGCATGTCCTTTATTAGGGATTACTTAACAAAAAACATTTTCATTTAAAACAGCCAGCAGCTGGTAGTTAGGAAAACAAAAAAACTACAACATAAAAGTCGATTTCTGCAAACGTTTACGTTAAAAATAATAAAGTTAATTTTCTTATACAGAAATCTACCCCTTTAGATTACTAGATAAATAATCCACATCTATTACGAGTAGTCTCACAATTACTACTCATTTCAATTTATCAGTAGTTTTAACCTATATTCTCTTTAAACTAATCGACTACAATCATTATGAGTATTGGTTGTTAATCAATAATTGCGTGTTTGTACGTGTGTGTACGTGTGTTAACATATTTGACTAGGTTATGTTTCACGCACTAGTTGAAGATTTTCACAAAGTCTAAACACTATAAAAACTCACATTAAAATATTCACTGCAATGTACCTTGAGACTAACATATATAATAATAATAATAATAGTGACATAATTTACCAAGAAAGGTTTAATGTGATGACGAATTGTTTTTGAACGCATAAAGGTGGTTTAAACTTTCTAATTGCCAGCTAGAGCTTCCACAAACTTGAAAAGGATACGCCTCAAACACGTTTTATAGAAAGGGTTTAAATGATCTGTTAACGTCAATTTTATATCCTGTCTCTATAATATGTTTCGCAACAGAGGAGCTAGGTCTCCTGTTCTCACTATTAATGCGTTCTGAAGATTCCATTTGTTTTTGGAGCCATTTAGGAATATGCTCTGAAGCCAGCCCTTACTTGCAGAGATCGATGAGTATCCTAAAGTTTGTGGAAGCTCTAGAAAGTTAGAAAGTTTAAACCACATTTATGCGTTCAAAAACAATTCGTCATCACACTCTTAACCTTCCTTGGTAAATTTTGTTTTGATACCATAGCAGATGTACTATTACCTCTGCTATTTGGTTTAGTGGTCTTCATTGTTATTTTGACCTTGAATAGTGACATAGTTCAAAAAGCTTAATAGGCTGAG